AGGTAGGAACGAGCCTCTTCTATTGTTTCCTGGTGGATGCTCCACACACAGGTAATGAGATATTATATATGTCATTGGTGTAACTTTTAGTTCATAACTCTAGAGTGCATTCCCTTTCCTTCTCTGTGGGATCTAAAGTAGTCATAGCTTTATAAGGAGTTGAGAACAAGGGGAAGCCTGGATCTTTTGCGGTTTTGCTCCTCTTATTTTTGGTTACTGTGTTAAGAGTGAGATCTACTCAGAGATGCCCTGCTTAGTGTCTAACTCTGTTTCCTACATACTTAGACGAGGAAATGGCTGCTTTCCCCCTTTCGGGACAGCTTTTGCAAGCATTCCTATAATGTTTTGGTAATGTCATGAAAGTCTTCATCCCTATCTTTACTGTTAGATTTTCTACCATGGTCCTGCTCCATTGAAAGCTTCCTTTCCATCAAAGCCCAATGTTTCTCCATTCCCACACTAACTGGTCCGGAATCTCTCAGCATACTCCCCTCTGATCGGTTTTTGAAACCAACTATGGACTCTTATTTGTTTTAATGTGGTAGTAAAAAATAAGATGTCAGTAATGGTTAGTATTTTACTTGATAATATATCTATTTATACCGGTGCCTGCATTATACAGGAGAGGTCAGCACCTAGTAGCAAAGGTCAGATAGAAAATGGAAGTAATGAAAGATCTTAAAGCATCTTCCTGCATCTTCCTGTTTCTCCAAGTCTTAACCACCTTCTCCGTTTCTCATTCTCACAAGATTCTCTTACCTACTTTGCAGACCTAAGGTGTGAGCTTTCTTAGATTTTTTTTTTTTGTCATGCCAGGGCTGAATTCTATTTCCCTTTCTTCAAAGGGCTTATTGAAAAGAATAAATCATTTTTGGTCTGCATGTTACCTTTGAGTTTTCTTTTGAAATCCCACATGTAATTTTTCAGACTTCACCTGAGCAAAGGAGCCTCTGGCGTTTCTTATTTGGCAGCCTCCTTGCAGTTACTTCTGTATTGAAATACAGCAAATAATTTAATTTTATCTCTTTCTGTACATTGCTTTTAAGTTTTCTGCCAAAGGCCCATGTTGCTTTAGGTGAATTCTGTAGGGCTTAGCAGAACTGTTCATTTTTCTTTTCATTGACCTCAGACAGTAGGAGGTATAAGCACACTTGTTAATATTTGGTACTTAAATAATGAGGCTATGGCGGTACTTATTTGTCTAGATTCTTCTAATTGTATCCTTTATAAAGATGATGGATGGTATTAATTAATGGGGGTCTTTTGCTACAAACAAGGTTTCATATTAGAATAATTTTTGTTTTATAGCATCTCTGCCTGTTAAGCATCTAATATGAATTTTTTTCTTCAGAAAAGCCTCAAAGAAAAATGTACTTCAGAAAGAGAAGTCATGGAGAAGATGGAGAAAGAGCCACCCAATGCATTGTAACCTTCTTCTCACACATTCAGTTCTATTTCCAAATTCTTGTCAACTCCGGGTTCAGCTTGCAGTCAGACATGAAATCCTGATTAAGGACCAAGGTTTCAAGGTTACCAGGGTTAGTTGCTTTGGTGCTGGGAGGATGCTGACTACACCAGTAATGACATCGCACCTAATGAATCTGTCAATGGGAAGGCAGAACCTCAGAGTACAGGCTGAATAATCACAGAGTGTGGGATGTGGTCCCCTGTGTCCTCTGTGTCATTTACAGCTTCCCACCTAGTATGAGCCACCTGTGAGCATCTCTGTATGTAATAGGCTGCAACCACTTGTTAAGATTCTGAACCATCCCTCATAGGAAATCACATTTGTTGAACACGTGTGAAGTGCCAGGTCTTATGATAGCCACTGATTCATTTAAATGAATTAATATTGTTTAGTGCTTATACTAGTGCTTGGCATATATGAGCACTCTGATAATAGATTTGCAATTGTTGTTTTTGCTATTTTTATGACTGTATTGAAATATTGGGTTTACCATCTTTCTTTGGCTGATGAGAAACTGGCTATCCATGAAAGATGAAAGCTTGCTATGCTGAAAATAAAGGTGAGAACATGACATAGGGACACACATGCCAATCTGAAACAATTCCTAATTACTAAAGCTGGGACAATCTGACCAAGCAGATTAGAAGTATAGGATTGAATTTAATCCAAAGTGTAAAATTAATATACATGAGTCATACTGTTATAAAGAAACGACTGGCTGAGTGAGTAAATGGGAGGGAAGAGACAAATTTGTACAAAAGAATTACAAATAATCTGTAAGATGCTCTCCCTCATAGGAAGTGGAGCTGAATCTTTCTGTATTAATCGGTTTTCCATTGCTACAGTGAAATTCCTGAGGCAAGTTATTTAATACAGATAAATACTATATGTAGCTCATAGTTTTGGAGGTTCAAGTCCTTGATGGGGTGGATGCACTGGTTTTGGACTTTGGGGAGGGTTTTAGGTGGGAATAGTAGGAGCATATCTTGGAGTCAGCAGTCATCTCAAGCCAGAAGCAGGGCAAGGGTGAGGTCCCACATGTCCTCTTGAAGGCAGACTCTCAAGGACTTAGGATCTACCTCAAGTCCTCCCCACCTTTCAGTGTTATCATCCTGGGTACCAAGTCTTTACATAGGACCTTTAAGGGACATTAGCCATATTCAAACCACAGGAATCCTTTTCTCCACCTAATAATGTGGAATGTATTTAATGAGTATTTCTCAGAGCAAAGTATGGAAAATTGAGAAAAAAATTAACAGTGGAAAAACCTGTAAACACACTATTTTGGCCAGGGAACTAGGGTTTTACCATTATTACTGGAAAATCACATAGCTAGTATACACCATTGGGATGATGTAATGAGAATTACATTTGACTCTGTGCTGTTCTGCCTCAAAACCCATACTTCTGATAAAACTATGAGAAAAATATACAAGCTCAGATTTAGAAGCATTCTGCAAAATACCTGACCAGTACTTCTCTAGGCTGTTAAGGTGCTCAAAACCAAGGAAATGGCACAAAGAGGCTGTTTAGAGGAATTAAAGTACGGTGTATGACATTACAGTGGTAGCTGCATATCATCCTACATTGGTCCAAACTAATAGAAGGTAAAATATCAAGAGTGAATTTTCATGTAAACTATGGGTTTTGGGTGACAATGATGTGTTAAAGTAGGTTCACCAGTGGCAAAAAATGTACCACTCTTGTGGAGATATGGATAATAGGGCTGACTTTGGAAAGAAATTGTTTGTAGAGTACATGGGGATTCTCTGAACTATCTTTGCAACTTTTCTTAAGCCTAGTACTCTTCTTTATAACAAAAGCATTCTGCCAATTACCAGAATTGAAATCTATGTTTGTTTTTATAGCCCTGAAGCTTTCTACAGTTTATAAACTTCTTTCATAGAAATTCAGTTTTTAAAAATGCATTTAGGTGTGCAATTATACTTTTTAAAAAATCAAAAGGATGGCTCTCATACAAGCGAAAAATGAATGTATCAAAAATGTTATTCATTTAATGAATGAGGGAACCAAATAACAGTTGTGAATCTAGAAATACATAAGCATCTGAATACAAAGTTAGGCTAAGACTGCAGGGTTAGAGACAACACTAATTAACATCTCATAGGGCAGTAAACAGAACCATTAGGGGCTTCTTTTAACTGGCCTGACATTATTTGCATTTTTATTTGCAAAAATCTACAAATTAATCTCTGCCCCTACAGAGATGTAAAATAACTCAGTCAATAGAAAGCCAAGTTCAATATTGCATAAAACAAAACCCAGTAATCTCTTGTTTATTTTCAAGTTTGGAGTATTTTTGTTAGGAGTCTTCTACCTTCCTTGATCATAAATAATCTTCGAGGATTATTCTCAGTCTGGAAAAGAAGTTGATTCCCTTATGCTTGACCTGGATACTTATAAAGATACAGTGAGAGTGTTAATTAGCCAGCCATTTAGAACTCCTTGAGTTGGTTGTGCTAATCCAGACATCTATAAAATTGAGATCTACTGATGTCTGAAAATTAGCTCTGATTGGAAACTTTCAATGAATCTTAAACTGGACTTTAAAAGACTTGTATTAAAGTATTAGGTCTTCTATCTATAGGCTAGCAAAGTCAAGCTTAAAATACTCCATCATGTTTAACTGAGTTTTACAGTAAATCTGGATGAATTTCTCTCTTTGAGGTTTCCTAAATTTGCTAAGGTCCCTCCTGGGATTTGTCTGAGAATGACCTTCCTCCCCATTCTGGGATTGGACTTCTGAACCAGGTTTCTTGGGAGGATGTCAGGCATTGGCTCTATGTGTGTCTGTCTTTATTCCTTAGTATGGATGTGTCATTCCTGATTTTGAAAGTATCATTATAAAGTGTGCCACTCTAGGTGAGGCCTTGTTACAGAATCTGTTTGTCCAATTATATCCTGGTAAAAAGGAAGATACATTTATATACTGAACTTACTCAAACAATTTCATTGTCATGAAAAGCAAAGAAACTTAGTGAAATGTCTTGGCTGCTGAATTTTAAGGGTCACTAAGAACAAGCTACCACTTAAAAATATTTCATTTTAGTTTACAAAAGCAGAGTCTATTAAATGGAAGGTCAGAGACAATTTGAGGCATAAGAGAAAAAGCTTTTTCCAATATCCGCAGAACTCAAACCTAGGCAGAATACCTCTGACTGCCACTGCTACTGTTACATTGTCATTTAGGTTTTCCAAAAGCTCTTTATTGTCACAGCTCCTCCGGGGTACTGTCAGGTAAAGAAGCCAAAAATCAAGACCAGACTAGAACCAGTACAAGCCTTTATTGTAGGGACAATATGTTGGGCTGTCTCTGATCAAAGGAGAGAGAGCAATATGGCAGAACAGAGAACTTCTTTTATGGGATTGGGGTGAGGTTTATAGGATCTGGGGTGCAGTTAAGTGAGGTAGTATTAAGGGATTGGAGGAGCCTGTGACATCACTAGGAGGGGCTTGTGATATCACTGGTATTTGGAGGTAGCAAGTATCTGGTTACTTTTTGGCAGGAGAAGAGGCATCATGGGAAGAAGAAGGCTGTCCTTCAGTAGGTGGGAGAAGCCTTTTTTTTTTTTTTTTGGTTTTTTGAGACAGGGTCTCACTATGTCCTGGAACTCACTATGTAGCCCGGGCTAGTCTTGAACTCATAGCAATCCTCCTGCCTCAGCCTCCCAAGTGCTGGGATTACAGGAGTGCACCACCTTCCCCGGCTCAGAGAAGCCATTTTTTTAGGTGAGAAGCAGGGCATTATTTGAAGGGGAGTAATGGCCATCTTCAAGTGGGGAAAATCTAGCAGGTACTGTTCACATTGTTGCCCCTGGGGACTGTCATGTAGGAACTGCTGCTAATCAGACTCAGCTTAATGGGAGTGCTTTGACTCTTTCATGGAAAAGTCAGGAGAGAGATGGAAGGAGAGGAAAAAGTTCTCAAAACTCTAATAAGTACATTGCAGTTTAGAGGGTATGAGGCATGATATACTTCATATTTCTGATTGTGTGATAAAGAAATGAACAATATGAAGTTTCTTTTTCTTTAATAGCTTTGTATTCTGCACTGGTACATCTTCTATAGAATCTTATGGACCGAGTTCCAGGAAAATCCCCTCCATTCACCTTAGTCTTCTCAGTTCTAGAATTGAATCCCTGTAAGTCCAAAGTGTGAGTGTGTTGTGTGGTTGCTGGAGATCATAATCATGTTTTCATATTTTCCTGCATTTAAAACATTTTTCCTCCCCCAGAATGCACTGGCAAGCAATGATGAAAGCTGAGTGCTGGAGAAAAACTGTCAGCTAAGAAGCTGGTGTTCACCTGCTGTGCTAGCAATCCAACGAGCAAAACAGTTGCACAAAAATAATGTTACTAATAATACAGAGCCATGAGAGACAAATGATCACATACTTAATGGAAGGTGGATATTTGTAGCTGTTTACTATTTTCTCTTGCATTTCCAGGAATCAAAAGTCACACCAGATTTATTTCCTGAGTTGTTTCATTACTTGCTTAACTCTAAAACACATTTAAATATTATCTAAATTTAAAAGTGCACGTGAAGAGAAGAAAAGAAATAAGGACACACGAATGGAAAAATCCATTGAACAGAGGGACTTAGTAGAGCAGCGGCTGATACTGAAGACACATTCCCTGCAGGCAGTAGGTACATCTGCAGCTGGTATTTTGTGGGCTGTGGCTGCCTGTTCAGGAATTCACTTAGGTTTGCTCCTTTCTTAATGCCATTTTTTCTCTGATCTGTTTACTCTATCAGCATTTACTGTATGGGAATTAGCTCAACCTACTTTATAACACAGGCCATTGTTAGTTTATACTACTCATAGAAAAGCACTGCTGCCCTTAGTTTTTACAGAACCACTATCTCCTCTGGGTTTTGTTGAACACATTTGTTGCTTTTGTGGCTGGATCCATATCAGTGTTCTCAAAAATTAACATATTTCTTTTTCAGCTATTTGATCATATGAGTTTTATTTTAAAGTAGGTAAGAAATCCTCTTGGATTCTAATAAATGATAATTCTGTTTTTAAATGAACAAACTTCCCTTTGCCCATAGGAAACTATATTATCACATCCAGTACAAATATAGTGCAAGGTACAGCACTTCCATTTTTTTCTTCTCCCAAATTTCTTTATCAAATGGAAATAAGTTTTATATGCCTTGATACTATGCAATGTTGATGTATAAGATAAGGAATGAATTTTCTGTTTGGCATTACAAAAGAAATCCGGATTTTTTTCCTGAAATGTCTTGGGCTTAGTGGATAATAGGAACAGCTTTCTCAGAAACACAGTCTACTCCTGGTGAAAAAGCATCTCTATCCCAGTGCAGGAGCCATACAATGATCTGCACCTGAAATGAGCAGGTGTCACCGCTTGCATCTGAGAAGGACAGGCAAGGAACCTTTCACTCCCTACTAAACTAGGTAAGCATTCAATCCCTCTGCTGGTTCCATTCTAATTAAATGTGGATTTTATGTAAACCACAACCCAGACTTTTTATGAATGCAGAATATGCCAGCTTCATTATTCTTGTCAGTTGGCAAAACGAGACCATGACCGATGAGTTTCTGAACGTTTGCTGATCGTTCATCTACAAAACATTCTTTTGGCAAAACGAGACCATGACCGATGAGTTTCTGAACGTTTGCTGATCGTTCATCTACAAAACATAATAGTCTGATTCTTTCACTTAGGGCTATTTACAGAAACCGAAGTTGATTAATTGAAGCTCCAGCACTGGGTAAATTCTCATCCTCTTTCTCCTGAATCTGCTCTTAATGCATCTCAAGGAAATCATCATTAATAATACATTACCTAAGGAGGAATACTGTGGCTCATTCCTTCTAGAGAAATTATGGGATTTCATTGACCTCAAATAAGTGTACAAGTATTTCTTTGACTCTATTTTATGTTTGTTATAATGTAAAATACTTGCATGTTATTCGAGAGATTGTGCAGGGTTTCACTTAAAAGTACCATGAAACGTAGAGGCAATAATAACAATTCTAATAATGCCCAATGTTCATTTGATAGTAAATATGGAATTGATATTTTACATTTGTTGTTTTACACCCTAAACAGCAGCTCTGATGTATGAGTCATTGTATACCCATTTTCAAAAGAGGAAATGGAGGCACAGAAATGAAGTGGTTTATTCATGATCTAATCACTAGTAAGGAAGAGGCAGGATACAGGAATAACATAATTGGCTCTGATGTCTGTGGTTTTAGTGATTGTGCTATATTACGCTGGGGATGAGCAGAATTAGACCACAAAGACATGGTCTGATGAACTGGTGGTAGTTAAGTAGACCTATTTTATTAAATGTGTTTGGATTCCTTACTATTTTCAAAGACATATTCTGAGGCAATATCTGTTCCCAGTAACACATTCAATACTCAATCATGAACTACCTCTGCCTCACCTCGATGAGCTCCAAGTCCCAGAATCTGAAGATACCTACTTGGAAGTCATAGAATGGGAACTTCAGCCACAGCACCACATGCTTGCTTTGTAAAATGAAAGAAGGGACTTTACTATTCTTGCTTATTCTTCTATCTGTAATCATGGGCTCTAATCAGCCAATATAAATTTCTAATTCAACAAAAGTTTAGCTCAGAGTCCCCTGTAGCTCATAAAATACCACATAGCTTTCAGTAAACTCCTCTGGAGAATTTCACTTGAGGCAGGACAGCCCATTGGGCCTTTAAAGTGTCATTCACAGGACCAGGGAACCTCAAGGTGTGGTCCAGATCCTCCTCTTCTTCCTTGATCCCTTAGCACTGTGTACGCCCTAGGGTAATTCCCCTGCAGATCAAGGCAGGAACCAGGGGAAAGAGACTTCTTTTTTTTTTTTTTTTTCAGCTTTAATTGAGTTTATTGGTACATTTTAGGGATACAGTGCAGTTACATTCATTGGTGGGATCTTGTACCTCTACATGACAAGTCTTGATTCTCATGTTTTCCCCTTACCTCTGCTCTCCCTTCTTTAGGAATGTATTGCTCATCTCTTCTGCGCATCATTGGGTGATGCTGCTTGGTGTGCACCGTGGCTTTGTCTTGACTTCACATCAGGGAGATGGCATCATGGGCAAAGAAAACGCTCCGGAAAAGAGTCAGGAAATGGGACTCTGCCTCTGACAACGCTTCGTAACCTGGGGTTCATCGCTTTGTCACCTGAGCCTCAGTTTCTTCATCTTCCAGGTGGAGTTCTTACCTTTTACCTACTGAGGTCCACAGTCTCACGTGCAATATGTGCTCTGCTGTGTGATGATGGCGGAGTGTGCTAGGGGACAGCTTATAGGGAAAGAGCCCTGTTACTTAGGAAACTGTAGGGTTATTTGGCACATTTTTGGATTGTTTTTGACATTTTAGACTGAACTTTCTCATATTTATACATAAGTTGTATAAAATCCACATTTTAGCCTCTGTGCTATCTTCTGGTTGAGATACTGGGCCAAATTTTTATCCTCTGTAGCTCATGGTATGTTTAGCAATGAGATAAGTGTGCTTTCATCAAGCTTTCGGGAACAAAGCAATGCTACCATTTAATTTGCCATTTAATTGCAATATCCTGCTTCACAGACAAGTTGTTGGGCTCTGGCTAAGGAAACTGAATAGAAATTGCCTGTGGCTGCTTTGTCTTGAATTTCAAAGTTTATTTAGTTCTGGGTTGTTTCACGTAACTCAGTCCTGCCACTTGGGTCTGCTTGTCTGGCTTCAGTCTGTGCTGCCGACTCCTCTGCTCAGCAAAGCTGGAGATGCCAGCTGTATGCGTTTCCTACTGCTGCGGTAACAAACTACTGACAGCTGAAATGCTTCAAACATCACACATGTATTCTCTTATCCTGGAGGTTGGAAATTCAAAATGAGCTTTGTAAGGCTGAGATGAAGGTATCAGTAGGACTCCACTCCTTCTGACTTTAGGAGAGAACCGCTCTTTTGCCCTTTTCAGCTTCTAGAGCTGCCTGTGTTTCTCATGTTACTCAGATCTTCCCCCACCTTCACAGAGCATCACTGCAACCTCTGCCTCCTTCAACTCTCCTGCATTCCCATTGCGTCGCCTCCTCTCAGGAGCACCGTGTGCTGCCTTCGGACCTGCCAGATAATCCAGAATCGTCTTTTCAACTCAAGGTCCTCTATTTAATCCCATTGACAAAGCCCCTTTTGCTATTATGGCAACGTATTCACAGGTTTCTTAACCTAAGGACTTGTGCTCACCCAAAAATACTCTGTCCAGAACTGCTCCTATCTTCCCGTGATTTCACTTAATATCTGTATTTTGTTATGCTTTTTGAGGGGGCAGGGGCATGAGGGAACTAGTACTACGACCAATATTTCTCTGTTTTGTTCCTTGATTTTCTATGATCTGGCTTATGCGAGGAAAATTCCCCTTTTACCCAAAATCTTTGCAAAGTTGGCCATTTGGAACATTTCCATCTTGGAACATTTTCCTCTCTGTTTTTCCTAGCATTGCAATCTTTTGAATCTTTTACTACTCATTAGTCAATTCCTACTGATTAGTCGATTCTGTGCGGTTTGGGTGTCCCTTTCAAAACTCATGTTAAAATTTAATTACTAGTTTCCCAGTGTTGGGAGTTAGGACCTGTAAAAAGCAAATGGGCCATAAGGGCACTATGCTCATACATAGATTATGGCCAGTTTTTGGTAGTAGGCTACTCATCTCTGGAGTGGGTTAGTCTAAAAGGGGGGAGTTTGGCTCTCCTTTCCTCTCTGTCTCATGCGCATGCTTGCCCTTCTGCCTTCCACCACAGGATAAGGCAGCATGACCACTTTTGGCAGACACTGGCACAGTATTCTTAGATTTCCCAGAGTGCTGGATTCATGAGCCAAACAAATCTGCATTCTTTATAAATGACCCTATCTGTGGTATTCTGTTATAGCAACACAAAATAGAATAATGCAGTTTTCTGTCGTCTGGTGGATTTTTTATTTTTCCTATCATAACTGCACCAATTTCCATAAATGCATCAACACTGATGATCCTCACACTCAATTTCCATCTTTGAAATTAAGTTCTGTATACCTCTTACAAGTTGCATGTTTTCCCCTGACATCTTGCCAACCTTTCAAGTACAGTGTGTGCAGTTATGAACACATTCATGTAGTAGAATTCCGGACTGCTGACCATGAGTCAGGTGTTTTGTTTGAGTAATGTGAAGACTAGCAAATCTCGGAGGGGGAGGCAGGAGTAGCTATATCACTGTAAAGAAGCTGGATAGAGTTGATAGTGGAGATACTATGTGGCTCTTAGGGACGTAATAAGAACACAGAGGCTTCTTCACCTAGAGCAGAGTGGTGTTAGTTAACAGGATAATGGGACAGGATGCTCCTCTTTTCCTGAGGAGCAGGAAGTATGGAAAAACACGCACAGTTGAGTGCGGGAAGAATCTATTTCCTATCCCGAGATGATCTCTTTTTCCTGTACTTCCTGTTTGGATCAGTGAGATTACCCTTTTTTCCCAGTAAAGGCCCAACTCATAAAACATGCAGAGCAGCGCCTGACTTCATGTAAGTATCTCATCAATATTTGTTGATGAGAAGGAGGGGCTAAGATTTAGAAATCACCATTTCTTAGCACGAGGTAACTGCCCAGGTCACAAATTGATGGTTTCCTGTCTGGGGTAGGTGAGCTTTGTGTAAGTTTCACGAGCAAAGTGCCTCTCCAGAAGTCCCTTGCTCTCAGCCTCAGGGAGCTGTGAGCCCATTCCCTCACCCTCACTGGGTACCTGGAATCCTCCTCTCTAATCTACTTAGCATTCAAACATCCAAAAAAGAAGCTGAGCACCTTTGTTGGCACTGCATCCTCACATATTTACTCTTAAGTCCTCTGCCAACAATTAATGAAAGCATTATATTCCTTTAGAGAGACTGTAGACCTTTGAAGACAGAGAAAGTGATGTTACTTAAAGAGGCAAAAAGTCACACCTACCTATACTAAAAGTTGCTCAGAGAAGCCCAGTGACAGTCTGCCTTTTCCTAAATTCCAAAATGCCTCCAAAGCCCTCATCTTAATACTCCCTTGGGGGAAATGATTCCTGAATTGGCTGAATATTTTTTCCACCCAAATCCATATATGGAAACCCTAATCCTAAAGTGACAGTGTGGGAGGGGGATTTGAGAGGTGATTTGATTCAGATAAGGAGCTTCCATGAGGCGATTTAGTGCTCTTGTAAGAAAAGGTCAGAGTAGTTAACTCTGCATCATGTGAAGATACAAGGGAACTTGGCTGTTTACAACCTTGAAGATGGTACTCAGCAGGCACCAGCCATGTTGGCACCTTCGTGTAGGACTCTGGTCTCTGGAACTGTGAGAAAGAAGTGTGTTTTGGTCATGCCACCCAATCTATGGTAATTTGTTAGAGCAGTCTTAACTAAAACTGGCACCATACTGTAAATAGCCGTAGAGAAAGGCGAGTATGGTAAAACTAGAAACTGATCTGAGCTGATGGGAAAGGCTGGAGGTTTTCCTTTAGCTGCACCTGGGAGGATGAGCTCAAATTTATGGAGGGAAAACATATCAAGAAACAGTTTTCTTTTCCTTCCTAAATTTATACGAATTTAAGTTGTCAATAGTGCTTAGAGATGTGTGTGTGTGTGTGTGTGTTTGTTGGAATCAGAGGGAGGATGTATTACACACTTGAGATCCAGGGTATACTTTACCCATCCAGGGCCCAGTGCCCCATGTTGAATCCTCTTCCTCTTTTCCCACTGGGCTGTGAATTACTTCAAGCTAAGATGGGCCTTATTAATCTTAGTTTCCCCACACAGTACTCTCTACATAATAAGTGTACAACAAAGATCGGTGGTATAAATGAATGAATAATAAAGTGGAGGTTTTAACTACTTTACTCTCTTGGGCATTGTAAGGCATCACTAGCTAATACATAAAAAAGTTATATGAGCCTTAGCTATTACATTATTTTATCTTCCAACCTCCTATGGCTTATTTTTGGCATCTGATATGGCAGTTGGGCCTGGAACAAAATTCCCCCTTGTCCACTCCCAGCCTTCCACTCCTGAAGTCAATCATTTGGGCTGTGCCGGAGGGCAACTTAATGTATATATTTCTTTCCCAGAGCTTTTGCAGAGGAGTGCTTTTTTCGATTAAAAAAAAAAAAACTGTCTAGAGTGGGCTTCACACCTAAGGAGAAGCAGAAGGAATATTTCTGCTCTTCTGGTTTTATCTGCCATTTTCCTAGTTTCTGTGAAAGTAGGTATCTGTCTCTCTGTGTTATTTGGAGGTTTATTAGTCAGGCAATAACTTTAGGCCTCATGTAACTTTTTCCCCTGCCTTATAAATTTGTTTGCTTCCTTTCTAGTCCTCCAACTGTCCAAATGAGAAGTTCTGGACAGCTGATCCAGATGATCACAGAGCAATCAGGAAAATGTGAGTATTCTTGTGCTCACCCGAACTTTCCTTGTCACTGGTAAGACTTTTTTTTTCTCTTTACCAGTAAGTTCCTCTATAGGGCAGAGTTAAACTGGCTCTTCAAGTTTGTGGTGCTCAGATGATTTTGAGAAGTTGTATGTTTGTGTGTGTATACATATACACATATGTACACTTACAGATCTCATCAAGAAATGTGCCTGGAAATTGGATTCTTGAATTTATATTAAACTTTGCTAAGGGGGTGAGAATTGTTGGTATTCCAAATACAATCTCTTAACATACTTCTCTTGTATGCACATTTGTATAGAGACATACACACACTGTTTATAAACTCGTTTGAAAGTACGACCTGTATATAGAAAAATTAGTAGTATAAGACTATGATACTAACTAGTAGATGACTGGCATTAGTAAGAACTCCTGGGAATTTATTCATAGTATCATGGGAACCATATAAAAGGCTGTTTGGGCAACTGGACACTTCTTCATGAAATTATGCTAGGCTGCCTTTTTTCTACCTCCTTTTCTTTAGCTACTCTGGTTCTTGCCTAATACAGTGGGCCCTCGAGTTGTAATCAGCCTGACATATGAACAACTTGTGTTACGATTGGAATTTTGGTTTTAACTTATGACCAATGTCTTGAGTTTCAACCTAAAACGAGGCTCCTTGTTCTTCCAGATGGTCTCAGGTACAGATTTACCCTTAAAGAGTTCTGGATGTAACAACATAACAACATCCTTTCCTCTCTGGAGTTAGTTGGGAAGTCTTGGGCCAGTGTCTCTCT